ATCGATTCCACTGCATAGAACTGTGTAAAAAATACTGAAATATGTTCGGAACTACGCGAGAACTATTTGTATAAAGCCAGAACTCCGTCATTTCGGACAGCAAATCATCCTTATCTGCCTTAAAGACAATTCTCGGGCAATATTAATTTTTTAAACATTATTTATCGGTTCTACTGCATAGAACTCTGTAGAAAACTCTTAAATATGTTTGGAACTATGCGAGAACTATTTGTATAAAGCCAGAACTCCGCTTTCTAGTTCCTTAATTACGGTCTATTTATAAGCAAAGTAAACGTATTCACTACTTAAAAAAAACGTATAAGAGAAATGGACATTTTAAAGAGGCATATTGATATAAATATTTAAATATACAGTTAGGAGCTACATGAAGAGAGGCTCGGTAGTACGAAGTAAAACAAGTTAATTTGAAGATCGCATTGGAATGATAGAAAGATCAAAATAGGTACAATTTTGTTTTTAAACTGCTTAAATATCATTATTTATTTTTATATATTATAAATGTATGAATATATAAATTAACTTTTACGCCAAAACGCAAAGAGAAATATATAAATAGCAAAAGTTACCTCAAAGTTTACGCACTGTTAAATTGTTTCTATACATATAAGAACGATTTATTAAAAATGTACCTAATACGCGTTTATTACACACATATTATATTATTTTAATATACTTATATATATGTATATTTGTAGATAAGTAAGCGCGACATTTTCTCCAATTAACTGTGAAGATTATTTTGTTTCAAGCATTGTGTACCGCATTAGAAAAAATGAAAACTGTGATGACAAAAAGTTACTTAATAAAAGAATTAATCATGTTATACTAACGAACATATGGAATCGAATATTTGTGAAACGATACTTTTATTACTCATACTACTCCTATAAAAATAAGACATATGTGAAATTGTATTTTTCTGAAGTATATCTGTAATAAAAATACAGTTAATGCGAGAGAAATACGAGTTGGAGCTACAGATTATATTGACATTGTCAAATACGCTTTGATAATATACGTTTATATTATTAATAAACTTAAAACGTGTTGTTGAATATCTTCAAGTTATAAAATTTTTATTCAATTACACACAAACGATTTAGTCTTATAGTTTCTTTAGTTTTTATCACCAATGAAAAGCGTTCTTAATTAAAAATGTCTGCTATCAGTATCTTAACAATTAATTTATTACGCGGTATTAATATCGTGATTTATTTTACAGATTTGTTTATAAATAAGCGTATATGTTTTGCGATCTAATAAAATGTGTTGCTGTGAAATTGTTTTCCCTTTCTACGATTATCACCCGTAACACTTCTCGTCTAATAAAATTAATCAACAGAATGTAATACTCTAATTAGATACAATATATACAATTTATATTTTTATTTCCGAGTTTTCTGAAGGTAATAGAGAAGAACATAAAAGTCAATAGATGAAGAAGAGAGAATAATAGAATAATAAGATAATAATAGAATAAGATAGAGTAATAAAATAACAGCAGAATAAGAGGATAGAAAAATAAGAGGAGACTCCACCACTCCCGCCCACTTTAGTCGGTGGTCCTCTTTATATGCTTTTGTATTTTTTATTTTTCTCATCAACGTCTTACGTCTTCTGTCGATTCCTGTAATATACCTGGTATTAGTACCTAACACTGTAGTTTCCATTTAATTACAATCATAATTTTATTTTCAATTTTAGAGAACATTCTGTCTGGCAAAAATGGACCAACCTATAGAGGCTTTTCACCACCCCCGCCGTTTTCAATTGACGGTCCTCTTTTTCTTCTCTTTGAAAATGTTCTTGAGTGCTATTTTTTGCTCCATTATTATTTATAATTTTTTATAGATATTATTTTATGTGCATACAAATTTTATAAAATATAAAAACTACAATGTGATTAACTATCGTCTCATGATAATTTACCTGAATTTATATAAAACTATTTGAGGTTTATATAAAATGAAACAGATACTGCGCGCGCAGGCTGTTCCGTTTTTATCAGATATGATTGCTATCAAAGATATATATATTTATATTAACATTAATAATTATTTTAGTATAATTCAGTATAGGTACTTTTAGAGTTTTTATTAAAAATCTAGTAATGATGAATATAATTATATTTGTAAGTATTATATGTGTATATGTATAATATTTCATAAAGATAATAAATACATCGTGTTAATTATATTATAGTTATTCTTTTATCTATCTCTTTTAATTATCGAGTTATGTCCCCCTGCGTCTGCCTGCCCGAGTACTTATTTACTCATATTTCAATATATGGTTCTACCTGACCGTTTTCTTGACTATCCGCATCCCTACCTGCCCGTATTCCGCTGTATAGTCTTATTTATCCATTTTCCTGTCTACTCGCGTTTCAACTTAATAAATCTGTTATCGTTAATACCGCGACGCGATTTATAAACGACTCGGTTTAGGCTTTTAATCCGTGCGCGATTGGGATTTGATAGTGGTTTTTATTCTCGCACATATGCAAGAATATGTAAAGAAGGAAAGAATATAACCCACCCGAATTTTTGCACATAAGAAGAAATCAATA